TCCTCCCTCCCTCCAGTCCTTCCTTCTTCCTTCCCTCCCTCCCTCCCTTCCTCCCTCCATCCCTTCCTTCCTTCCTCCCAGCAAATATTTTTACGGGCCTTTGATGACTCTAGAGTCAAGCCTCCTTCCCTAAATAGCGTTCTTTTTAGCAGTACCTCTGACAGGAGCTGACTGGCAGGACATTTTGGGGTTACTTGAAGTACAGATATCTCATACTGCTGGTTTGAGAGACCTGTATGTTCGAAGTGGGAGCCCTGGTGGTGCAGTGGTTAAGTGCTCAGCTGCTAACTGAAAGGTTGGCGGTTCGGACTCACCAGGCTCCGGGGAGGAAGATGTGGCAGTCTCCTTCCGTAAAGACCACAACCTTGGAAACCCTATGGGGCAGTCCTGCTCTGTGCTGCAGGGTCACCATGAGTCGGAATCAACTCGACCGCAAGGGGTTTGTCTAAGGAGCCCTGGTGGTGCAGTGGTAAGTGCTAGGCTGCTAACCGAAAAGTTAGCGGTTCAAATCCACCAGCTGCTCTGCAGGAGAAAAGACCTGGCAGTCCACTTCCATAAAGATTACAGGCTTGGGAACTCTATGGGGCACCTCTGTTTTGTCTTATAGGGTCACTATGAGTCGGAATCAACTTGATGGCAATTTTTGGGGGGGTGATATGTTTGAAAAAGGACCCCTTTTGGCGCAGTGATTACAAGCTCGGCTGCTAACCCAAAGGTTAGTGGTTTGAACCTACCCGCCGCTCCCCAGGAGAAAAGCAGTATTAAAGTCTGTTTCCATAAATATTACAGCCTTGGAAACCTTGTAGGCAGTTCTACTCCGACTTATAGGGTCACTATGAGTTGGAATCAACCTGATGGCAGTGGATTATATGTTTGAAAATCAAATGAGTATATAGCAAGACTAGTATCTGGCTATGAACTTGGAAGTGTTAAAAAGCAAAGATGTCACTTGGAGGACTAAGGTGCGCCTGATCCAAGCCATGGTATTTTCAGTCCTCATATGCATGCGAAAGCCGGACAAGGAGTAAGGGAGACAATAAGAATTGATGCCTTTGAATTACGGTGCTGGCGAAGGATATTGACTATACCACGGACTGCCAGAAGAATGAACAGTTCTGTCTTGGAAGAAGTACAACCAGAAGGCTCCTTAGGAGTTTGCACGTTATCAGGAGGAAGAACCAGTCCCTGGAGAAGGACGTTTTCATGGACTGAATTGTGTCTCCAAAAGTATTTGTCAACTTGGTTAGGCCATGATTCTCAGTATTGTGTGGTGGTTCTCCATTTTGTGATTGTAATTTTATGTTAAAGAGGATTAGGGTGGGATTGTAACACCCTTACTAAGGTCACATCCCTGATCCAACTTAAAGGGAGTTTCTCTGGGGTGTGGCCTGCGCCACCTTTTATCTCTCAAGAGAGAAAAGGAAAGGGAAGCAAGCAGAGAGTGGGGGACCTCATACCACCAAGAAAGCAGAGCCAGGAGCAGAGCGCATCCTTTGGACCTGAGGTTCCTGCGCAGAGAAGCTCCTAGTCCGGGGGAACATTGATGAGAAGGCCAACAGAGAGAGAAAGCCTTCCCCTGGAGCTGACGCCCTGAATTTGGACTTTTAGCTGACTTTACTGTGAGGAAATAAATTTCTTTGTTAAAGCCATCCACCTGTGGTATTTCTTTTATAGCAGCACTAGATGACTAAGGTATCATGC